GTGTCACATCATGCATCAGTGGAAGCAGAAGAGTTCCTACCAGACTTCGTCGCGGCGTGGATGCTGCTGCAACGGTCAGGCCTTGACGGCTCTGAACGCGCCACCATCATCGCCAGCTTGAAGAACCACTTCACCACCGAGAAAGTGAAGGAAGCCCTCAAGCTGAATTGGACTGAAGAGGACCTCAGGAAGCGGGATCAGACCCGCAGTTCAGCCCTCGTCGCCGAAGATTTTGAAGAAGACGACGCCTTCCTGCGTGAAGGCACTACCAACATGGTTGACCAAAGAAGAGATGGAGGAGTACAACTACCTCACACAAGAATCCGAAGAAGCACTGGCCGCAACACAAGGTGCCCGGAGGACACTCCATGACGGTTGGGAGAAACAATCCATGATGCGAAAGAGCCGCCAATTCTACCCCATGAAGCGGGAGAGTACTGTCAAGTGAAAATCCGAAAGGGTGGCCTCAGATCGGAAGTGCTTCCGATGTGGAGGCTCACACCGGACAGACACTTGTCCCAAACGTGAAGATCAACAAAATTCACTGCCACCGCTTCAGGTGATACGACAGAGTCAATTGGCTACACCATCCCAGAACACATCCGGAGATTTTGAGGAGTCTGCCAACTTAGCGATGGGTTCGCTTTTGGAAGCAGGCAAAGCTATCATTGACCCTGGAGCCACTTCTACAGTAGGCAGTGTGGATGCTTTGACCCACATCGACAACATCAACGCGGAACACGGGCTGAGCAGCGACATCCAGGTCGATCCCTCGGAACGTCCAAGCTTTCGATTTGGGAATAACGGCCGGACAGTTTGCCTGTCCACAGCCCAGCTGCCAGTTCCGCTGCATGGAGGAGTGAACGAGGCCCCATCAACCACCTTTGGAACAGCAAACCCCCATTCCGTTCCAAATCAAGGGTCCGATCGGTTCGTCTCGACAGGGAGTACTCACGCCACCTGCAGATTTGAACTTCTCTCAAAAGTCGAACACTAGTCACTAGTGTGACATCCTTCATCCCGTGTCAAGATGCCTGGCATGACCAAAGAGGTCCTTCGCCAGAAGATCATGGAGTTCGGGGAGACACCTCCCGAATCTTGGCGCAAGAACCAGCTGGAAGCTCGTCTAGTGGAACTCAAGGAACAAAATCCAGAAGCCAAAGTCCACGACCTCCTGAAGGAAATGAACAAAGCTGCCAAGAAGAAGCACGATCTCCAAGTTTTCCTGACACAGAAACTGGGAATCACCATCACGGGCAACGAGACCATCAGTCGACTCCTCTCCCTGGGAAACCAGGCCATTATGGAGAACAAGCCCCCGCTGGCGACCGACGTGATGGGATTCGGGAAGTTTGCCCCCCTCACATACCAGGATGTGCAGGAACAACACCCAGATTACACCGGGTGGTCCAACATCCCTCGAGGAGACGCAGATGACCCGCTACCTCAAGTGGGTGGACCAGAAGAAGGATATGGACAAGCCGACCAGCATGAAGAAGGGTTACATGAATGTGAGCAGTGGTGGGGCAGCGAAGGCGAAGGCCTTCCTACTTTCGAGTGCGCATGTCTTCAGGGTCGTGAATTCCAGGACCAGCTCTTCATTGAACCCTCAAGGAGATCACGGATGCTATGAATCTTCCTGAAGGCTCCATCACAAGACCTGCAAAAGCCGCATATGGCTTGGTTCACGAATTTCTGGAACAACAGGGATTTATCCGGCAAAAGGCAGATCCTTGCTGCTGGGGACTTTTTGACCAAAATCAGAAGCCCATAGCATGGATCTGTTCGCACGCCGACGACTTCTTGTTCGGAGGCTCCGAGACCGACTTGCGCTAGCAACATGTGAAAACAGCCATCACCACTCGGTTCAAGTTTGGAGAGTGGGAAAAAGGGAAGTTTGTACAATGTGGAGTGAACATTGAACAACGAGATGACTTCTCCTTCAAGATTTCACAACCTGAATTCCTGGAACAAGTGTCGGAGATTTTTGTACCAAAACAAAGGAGCAAAGACCTTGAAGCTTTGGCCTCACCCGAAGAGCAAAAGCAAATGAGAAGCGTCCTTGGATGTTCAGCATGGTATGCCAGACAACTGGCAATGGAGCTAAGTGCACCCACAGGCCTTCTTTTGTCCAAAGTGCCGAAGGCACGAGTGTCCGACCTTTTAGAAGCAAATAAGCTTCTGAAGAAAGCCAAGGCCAGACAGGGCCAATGCATGATCATCCATACGCTAGACAAAGATGACCTCATGTTGACAACATGAACATGGGTAGATGCTGCCTATGGCAACAGACCTGACTTGAGTAGCACAAAAGGGGTGTTGATTGGATGTACAGATTGCAACATCCTCCAAGGAGAACTATCTCAGGTCAACCCTATTTTCTGGTGCTCCTCGAAAATCTCTAGGGTTTGCCGCTCGAGCGCATCAGCAGAAACACGTGCTGCTGTGGATGCGGAGGATCAAATGTACTCACTCCGATTCCAAAGGGCCGAATTTCTTGGTCACCATGGAAATGAGTGGTCTCCTGATGAAACCGTCAATAAAGTCCCGGGAGCCCTCGTGAGTGACAGCCGAAACCTTTACGACCGTCTTTCTTCCACCGTCCTGACCTTAGGAGGAGCCGAAAAACGAAGTGATATTGAAACCCTTTGTCTGAAAGAGGCCTTGAACTTCAACAAAGTTCACTTGCGCTGGGTGAACGGAGAAAGCCAATTGTCAAATAGCCTCACGAAAGACAATGAACCACATCAGCTTCATGTGTTCAATGAACGCAGTGGTAGGTGGCGGATCGTTTACAATGAGTCCCTGGCTTCTGGTCGGAAGAGGAAACAAGAACGGAAAGGACCAATAGATTGAAAGTGGCACTTATTTTTTTTAATGAGTATGGACCCGTGCAGAATTTGCATTCATGGGTCACGCTCTCACACGCCCATCGGTGATCTCGTCTCGACTCAAGCACCCCACCTAGCAAGGACAGAAACAGTTCCTTCCGAGGGGCACTTGCGCCCGTGTGCTTCGCACAAAAAGGCAATTCACCAGCGTAGCCACACCACTCGATCTATATATATATATGTGTGTGATATATGTAGTTCTTCTCCGCATATTTTTCTGGCATATTCTAAACCCTAATCAGGGTTGCAAAAGTATAAACTACCGCAAGGGCACTTTGCCCTCAGAAGAAGTTGTAAAAAGACTGCCACATCCCTCTTCACACAACTGAGGCTTCGGCTGCCCACGGATTGCCATCACAGATCGATCGATTGATCGAAGTCGCACACGGCGTCGTCCGCTGGTTCGCTGGGTTGAAAGGCGTTGGTTCGCCAAAATGCTGAAATTTGAGCCACAAAGTCGCGGAGAAACAGTCACAATCGCCATGCTTTGACTTGGAAAGAGTCCTTACCCCCCGGTAGAAGTGGAGAAAAGGGTCTCGCATAGACTCTTAGATCAATCCCAGGCCAGTGCACCCCTAGGAAATCTACAACCACAGGCCTTTACCAGATCGCTGTTCTCTTATGCTGAATCTGAAGGGAGCCACCCTGAGTTTGAGATAAACCCCTATGGATCCACAGATGAACCACGAACAGTCGACTGTCGCCCCTCACACATTTTCACCATGGTTGGTCTGTTGGAAGGCCAGCGGAAGGCTGACAGGGCAGTGCAAGAGCTGGTGTTTCTCAAGTTCCTCCTCCAACTCTGTGCTGCTTTAAAGCCCAGTTGCCGTCCAGAGGAGTCCGAAGGATTTGTCCAGAGCCTGTGGCAACTGCCTGCAACATGTGGAAGAATAACACAGGGAGATATGCCCAATTGCAAAAATTGCGCATGTCAATCCAAAGCCCTTCAACTTTTGGTTTATCCAAGAGTACGGGATATGCGGTTGTTTAACGCCTTCAGCTCCTCTTTGTGCAACAGGGATGAAGACGAACTTCGCTGGCCAGGAGTTCAGCAAGTAGGGTTAAGAGACAAGTTTCACATGAACAATACAGATCGCACCACATGTCTACGCTGGGTTGCGCTGGGCGCCATGAGCCTTCAAGCGCAGCTACACTCGGAGCACAACAGCGGTCTTCTTCCCAGGAGTGGCAGCCAAGCTGTCAAATAATCGAGCTGTTGCCAGGCCACTACTTCCGCAGCATTTCTTAGCAAAGCACAAAAACATTCCAAGGAACTGTCAGAAAATGATGCGGCCCACCGCTACCAACCTTAAGGCTCTGCTTTCTTACTGCAAGCATGTTGTGGAAACAAAAGCTGGGCAAATTCATCAGGGGTTCCTTCCTGGCCCGCATCCTTGGCATTACAGCGAGAAATTGATTCACAATTAACCTCGCAAACAAAAGACAAACAATAAGAATCTTCTGAAAAGGTCACTCTACATCGCGATACTGTAAGAGAAGAGTATTGGAACTGCTTGCGACATGTGTGAGACGAGATCAGCATGGAAGAATAACACGGCAAATGCCTAACTGCAAAGTTGGGCGCGTCAATCCAAACACGTTCAACTTTTGGCTTGTCCAAGGATATGTCTGCTTGTTTAAAGCCTTCAGCTCCTGTCTGTGCAACAGGGATGGAGCCGAACTTCGCTGGCCAGGAGTTCAGCAGGTAGGGGTAAGAGAGAAGTGTCACATGAACAATACAGATCGTAACATATTTCTACCCTGGGTTGCGCTGGGTGCCCAGAGCCTTCAAGTGCGGCTGCACTCGGAGCACAACAGCGGTCTTCTTCCCAGGACTAGCAGCCAAACTGTGTATCGTCTCTTCACGCTATGTGGAAGCCCAACGCCGCCGGTTCTGCGACTTGGTCACAGCCGCTTCTGTTTAAAATGACGGGAATCCTCTGAGATAGGAAGGAAAAAAGAAACTTTGTCGCTGAGACATTCCCATACACATCATTACACATCTAATCCTTGGATCACTCCACCACTTGGTCGTCCAATACGAGAAGTTCACCATCAACTTTCACACCACGCGCACCGGGAGCTGCCCTTCCGAATCTTCCAGTTCGGAAAGCTCGCCACATGGCATGAGCTATCTCTTCAATGCTTCACCTGCAAGACATTGACCCTGAACTTGCGCTGCTGATTGATTCTCGGCTCCCACAGGCGCAGCGGACAACGCACCGAAACTGCCACACCCCTACGGCTGACAACACCTGACCCTTGGTCGGGGGTGGCCGAAGCCTGCTAGCAGTGGATGATGTGCATCTTAGTTTGGGCCCAAAGGCTTGTTCCTGGCATGATTGAAGATGTAGCAGCCAGCTGGCGCTTTTGGGCTTCCAAATGTGGCATGGCTTTTCGCCGCCCAGTCAAAAAAACGACTTTGCGGAGATCACCAAGCAATTTTGGTCTTGCTTTCAATGCTCAAATCATCTCAAATCTGAAATGGGGGGTCACAACTTCAGCGTCCAGATTGCGTGTGACTTGCAACGCTGAACAGAAATGTGTGAGCTTGTCCAGACGAGATCACTCGGCAAACCGGGCCAACCCACACCACGAGTTACAGCTCTTCCTCATCTCAGACACGCCACGAGTGGGAAGCTCAGTCCAGGAGGATCTAAAACATCCTAAAACACTGGGATCAGAGCCACATGAAGGATACACGAGGTCTGAACAAGAACAGCTAACCTCCACTCGAAGGTGAGCCAAACTTGCACTCACGCAGTCTGAAGAAGAACCGCTAATTACAACAAAGATTGAGGCCGCTGTGACCTCTTTGGTCTCACCGAGCGCTCGCAGACCAGCCGTGGCCACAAAACATACTGTAAGTCTGCAGAGTCTGCAGCCTTTGTCTACCTGCCCCTCTGATACTGCAGCTCAAGAGGCAAACAAGCCCAAGCATCTCCATCACTGCAACCTCTGGGCTTGCCCCTGGCCTTCCACTTGTCCCACTTCCAAGGTGCAACATTTTTCTGAAAGTTTTACGGTCGTCATCAGCCGGCTTCCCACTTCAACTCCAAGCAGAGCACATTGACCTTTTTACAAACACTGGCCTTGTGACTGATGTTCCAGATTCATTGGTTTGTCTCAGAATATTCATAGGAGCCTCCCAAACAGAAAAGGTTCAAACCTCCCTGTCCACACACAACTCCAACGTCGTGCAAGTGTCTATGACCTCATGGACTCATGGTCTATCGACCAAATGTCCACACCTCTGGGAGTTATTTGTCCACATCGCTTGCTGCCACCAGGGGGGCCATTCCCACAGAGTGCCGCGATCTCGCAACCAGAAATTCCATCACCAGAAAGCCACGGAGCGGACGACGAAGGAGATCGGTCTGGGTCGGGGATGTTGGGGATGAGTCGTACAGTTACACGAGTCTCAACTGAAGCAAAGAAGGCTAGGATTGACAAGAGCTTGGCGAAGCCATCGTCTGAGGAGCTAAATGAAAGATCGCTTGCAGCAAGTCTCGCACCAAGTCTGCACTTGTCCAAAGGCATGCAAATCTCCCAGCACTGCTCCGTGTAGAACCTAGCTGGACAATGTACAAAGCCCTGTGGCTGACCATGTGGAGGTGCCCAGCCATGCCTCTACCGTGCCCTTAGGTTGCATCGCTCTTAGGTTGGAGGCCATCGCTAGCAGGTTGGAAAAGATGTTACGAAGCAGGATGTCTCCATGCCTCCACGCTGCCGTTCCACCGTGCCCTTCTTCAAGCAGTCCCGGCCCCCCAACCGCAGTGCCCAAAATCCCGGTGTCTCCGTTCTCCAGGTGGACATATGGTTGTGGATCAAAACCAGGATACCTTGCTTGACCTACCGGAAACCCGCCCCTTCCGAGCGATTCGATCCAGCCAAGCACCTCAACGCCCAGGTACCGACCGTGCATTCCGGCACCGACGTGGAACGTGTGGCAGGCGGCTTCGGCACCTGGAGTCAATCTCAGTGGACGTCCTTCACACTGGAGACACCGAACTGCCAGCACTCCTCACGGAATTCGCGGCCAATCTGGAAAATGGCGGATTTGCAATGGGAACTCGGTCGTTTTTGAATACTTCCAGATTCTACCAGAGTCAATCTAGAATCTATTAGAATGGTTGATTCTATTGAATTGGTTGATCCTGCAAAGCATTGAAAAAAGCTAAAATCATTAGTTTGGTTATCTACTTCCGCGGGGGCCTCACCAAGCTTCCCCACATACAGGTTTTGCTTCAGCTGGAGTTGACAAGTTGGGTTATTCTGCCTGTGAGACCCTTTTTACGCCAGATGTAGCATTGCGCAGTTACATCTCTTTACACCGACAAACTTCTGCAATTCTGCAGGCATCTGCGGGTCATCGCGAGGATCTGAGTAGCGTGATTCCTAAGACCCATGGACGCTTTAGAGTGGCCGTACTCGCTCCAATCTTGGGGCATTGTTTGACGCTTTGGGGAACTTCTCTCATCCACGGATCTGTACAAAACTGTTGCATTTCAAGTGGCGCAAAGATCCATCTATCGTCACACACGAGTACCTCCAGTCACTGAGACAGCCAGCTGTCTCCCAAAAACCAGCTCAGTATCTAGTTGGCCTTTGAGATCAGGTCCAACCAACTGGATGCCTATCATCTTGCGAGGCTACTATGCATCACCTTTCACTGAAGCCTTTCACCTCGCAAAAAATACAAAACCTGATGCCTTTGCTACCTCGTGGCACAAAGGTTTACACCTGGGCCCCAAATGGCACCTGGGTGGCAAAATGGGCCCCAACTGGCAGGCCCGTTTTGCTGTTCTTGTCTGCCTTGTCCCAACCAACCTGCGCTCTGAAGATCGAAGACAAAGCACTAGTGAGAAGGCGCTGGCGAGCAGCAGGAGGGCCCGGCGAGCGTCACACTTCTTTGGACCGGACTAGCAAACTCGAAAACTGAAGACTCCGGGATTGTAGGGAGAGGGGATTCCTTCCTAGTGGTTTTTGTGCAATTGTATGCTTCGAAGAGGGGTTGATGGCGGGGCAAAGAAGCCTCAACGCTGTGTCAATCAATGCTAGTCAATGTCTGCAGGTTGCATCTAAATCTGCTGAGAAGCCTCGAAGCTAGTAATTGCTCAGTCTACACTAATGGTGTTTGATACCCTTCGCGACCACAGTACCACAGTACGCAGGCATTACAGAGTCACATCCGGTGGGCCGTTTTCAAATCAACAAAGAGGCCGGAACAGGTCTGGTCCTCAAAGACTTCGGAAACAAATCAGCTTCTGCTGATTTCACTGCACAAGCTCTTCTATATACCAGACAAGCTTCAACTCACTGCTTTGAAGCATCATGTGAAGTATACAAGCAGGAGGATGACTCAGGGTGTGAGGAACCAACTGCCAGGTCTGATCCAGCTCAGCATGGATTTTTGGCCAATGAGTTGATGGACATCCTTACATGACATGTCTCAGGGCCTCTTTAGCCTCAGTGCCACTCCTTGTTTTGGCTCCACCCGCCCCCCGATCGTATGGCATGAGAATTCGGTAGGCGATTTAAATCTGCAATGTGGTGGTCATGTCACTGCAGCTCCCTGGCAAACACCTGGAAGAAGAACACAAAACTCTGCCAGGATGTGTTCACCTTCTTCACTGACCCCATGGTCACCATTGTCAAAAATGTGCCGGTCTGGACCTCTGCCAAGCAACTTAGTAGGGTACAGGATTGTGGAGGAAATGAGGTGTTGGTGACATTGAAAGAAAAGCGGAGTGGGCTAAGTGCGCTGGATCTTGCTAAGTGGGCTGGTCGTCAATGCACTTTGCTGTTCTTGTCTGCCTTGTCCCAGCCAACCTGCGCTCTGAAGATCGAAGACAAAGCACTAGTGAGAAGGCGGTGGCGAGCAGCGAGAGGGCCCGGCGAGTGTCACACTTCTTTGGACCGGACTACCAAACTCGAAAACGGGACTCCTTTTGGGGGAATTGTAGGGGAGAGGGGATTCCTTCCTAGTGGTTTTTGGTGCAGGTTGTATCCTTCCAGAATGGTCCTCCAGATGTGAACCAAAAGTCGATGGCAAAATGTATTTTTGTGAGGGCCTGATGGCAGGGAAGAAGCCTCAACGCTGTGTCAGTCAATGCTAGTCAATGTCTGCAGGTTGCATCTAAATCTGCTGAGAAGCCGAGTAGCTAGTAATTGCTCAGTCTACTCAGTCTACGCTCATGCTGCCTGATACCCTTCGCGACCACAGATCCACAGTACGCAGGCATTACAGAGTCACATCCGGTGGGCCGTTTTTAAATCAACAAAGAGGCCGGTAGTTTAGACTGCCCACTTTTGGGCTTGCACAATGACTGTCCAATGACTGGCCTCTTACGCAAATGACCAAAGTCAGGAGATTGGGTTCAGCTTGCTCCTAGTGACCATCGTGACCTCTTTCTCTTTCTTTACTCCTTTGGCTCACAAGAGCAGCAAAGCTCCTTCAAACAGGTCTGGTCCTCAAAGAGAAAACGCATTGCGTGCTTTGGGTGCAATGTTTCCCTACTTCCGAAACAAACCAGCTTCTGCTAAAATTCATTGCAAGCTCTTCTAGATACCAGACAAGCGTCAACTCACTGCTTTGAAGCATCATGTGAAGTATACAAGACATTCAGCTACTTCATTCCTCCGCTAGGAGGAGGATTGAGGGTGTGAGGAACCAACTGCCAGGTCTTGTCATTGTCCAGCTCAGCATGGATTTTTGGCCAAAGAAACTATCAGAGTCGATGGACATCCATACATGACATGTCTCAGGGCCTCTTTAGCCTCATTGCCACTCCTTGTCTTGGCTCCACCCGCCCCCCGATCGTACGGCATGGAACTTCGGTAGGCGATTTGTCTTTCTGCGATGCGGTGGTCACGTCACCGCAGCTCCCTGAGGAATCGCACCTCCCAGAGAAGCGTTGAAAACCAGGAACTGTACTGGCTGGGCAGATTGCTGAATTTGAAGTTGGAAAGTGTCCCACATGTTTTCAAGCAAGCTTGGTCGAGTTGCAAAAAGGTACCTGACGCAGGAACAATCAACCATCTGCCAGAAGTTCCAAGCTCTTCCAGCTCCTCACATGACAGTTCTCAGGGCCTTAGCAGCTTCAGCAAGCAGCACGCGCAACGCTGCGTGCCAGCATACAGTTTTGCAACGCGGCCTTCAAGGACCCTAATCCCTATGCACAACGACAACCATTCGGATGCGTTCCCAAACACGAATTCTAAGGCGTTTCCAAACCACCAAAAATGCACGTGGCAAAAGCAGCTTTGGCTGATGCATTCTACAGACCCAAAAAAATGCATCCGCAGGTTTTGTGGATGCACACAACATCGACCCAACCTTCACAGCTACCCTTCCACGTGCTACCACACGAGCGCCGACGCATTTTTCATCCCCGCCAAAATGCATGCCATACCGTGTTGAAGCGTCACCATGAAAAATGCATTGGCATGTGTGCCAGCACGCGTGTGCCAGGGTGTGCGTCAAAACTCCGGGTCTCAGGTGAACATCGCGCACCTTCCTGTTCCATAGGGTATGGAACGGATCCATTGTTCCATAAGGTATGGAACAGGTATGGAACGGGGGTATGGAACAAATTGTACCAAAAAACCTGACGTGTCATCTCAGTCCCGTTTCTCACGGTAAATGTATTTCAGCAAGCAAAGCGCGCGTTTTGATTGAACCTCGAACAATTGCAAGCTAGGAATCCATAGGTATGAAACGATGGGTATGGAACGGCGAACAGACATGCTCTTCCACAGGTATGGAACGGGGTATGGAACGAGATGTTCAAGAGTACATGTTCCATACCAAAACGTTTTGACTCATGGCCTTATAATAATAATAATGTGTGTGACGGAGCAGCTAAGCACAGGGCCCCTTTGGTCTCATTGCCACTCCTTGTCTTCGCTCCGGTAATTCGGTGGGCGATTTGTCTTTCTGCGATGTGGTCATGTCAGACATGTCACCGCAGCTCCCTGGCAAACACCTGGAAGAAGAACACAAAACTCTGCCAGGATGTGTTTGCCTTTTTCGCCGACCCCATGGTCACCACTGTCAAAAATGTGCTTGTCGTTGGCACTATCGGGCTACTCATCTGCGACACCTGTTGAGGCTTTTGAGAAATCGCACCTAGCAGAGAGGCGTGGAAAACAAGGAACTCTACTGGCTGGGTATGATTGCTTAATCTGAAATTGGACAGTGTCCAACATGGGACACCAGGAAAGCGCAGGTGAAGAGCTGTAATTAGAAAAGTATCTTCCGCAGGTGAAAGGTATCTTCATCTGCCAGAAGTTCCTAGCTCTTCCAGCACCGGAGATCTTCTGCATTCTCGGATCAGGGCCATCTTCTGGAGGATCTGCAGTCTGCAGCCTTTGGGCTTCAGGTTTCAAGCAGGGACAAAAAGCTCAAGAAGTTTCCTAGGCGATACTCTCAAGCCAACAAATAGGGAATCTAGCTGGCACAACCGCAACGAGACATGACTTAGGAGCTGTGTGCATGCGAGGAGCCCGGCCAACGTGTATTTTTTTGCAGATGCATCATTCTTGGTATACAGGATCACACGACACAGGACGCTTGTCTGTATTTGGACCACATGTCCAGGGTAGCATTTTGCTGACTTGTCACAAGCCATGAAGGTTTTCTGTGCGTATCTGCCATTCGAAGAACCTCCTAAGGGTCCGATACCAAACACTTGACGATACTTCCAAGTGCTCCGATATCACTGGTGGGCAGTATAGTCAAACTTGCCTTCCAAAGTGCAATGTGCTTTGAAGTCAAATCAAGGGTCTGGCCATCTGTCTTACTCAGATGGCAAGAACGAGCCCGGCACTGCTTCACTAGGTTCAAGGCCACACATGAGTCTTCGAAACGGCTGGAGACGTTGCTTGCAAAAGCAGGTTTGCAATGTACCCGGAATCCAAGTCTGTAGTGAGGCTGCAGGTTTGCGACTCCTCGTTCAGGTCCAAGTGCAGCCAAGCTGACCTGATTGATCTATTCAAAAAGAATACATCCGTTGGCCGCTGAACTGGGCTTTGCATAAGGAATGTTTCAAGAAGTCTTGCTTGGACTGCTTTCTCATGCCAATCGCCATGTGAGGGAAGGTTGCTGAAGAAAGCAACTTGGTGTAGCTGGAGTCGAAAGCCGGGAATGTCACAAGATCCTCCGAACCGATGTGGTTTCATTTGGTTTCCCTTCGAGGAGGGTGCCCTGACCTATACTAGGTCCCACCTGGTCAATGATAGTGTAAATGGGCTATCCAGGCACCCCTAAATGGAGATTCACTAACAACCAGCAGTTGGTTTCATTTTCCAGGTCCCATGGGTACTCCGAAGTGTATACACAAGTCTCTGGATTGTTGACCTCAAAAATTTAGCGAAGTGACGTGGGCAGGTTCTATTTGGTGCAAGAACCGTCTTCAAAAAATGGACTTCCCAAGACCTTGTCTCCCAGGGTCTAGAACTCAACCAGCCAAGTAGGACCTGAGAGATTGAATATTGCAGACCTGGTTGTCCTTTGAGCTTAGATAGCGCGCTTCAAAGTCTAAAATCCTTGAAGCCCAGCTGCTCTCCTTCTGCAAGCGCAGCACAGTAGACTCCCGGGGCCCTTCGGGCCAGCAGCATGGAGACCAGGACGACCTGGAACTTTAGAAGGCACGGATCCTTTTGTCACAGCCCACGTTGCCAGCTCAACTGCATGTTTTTTGTTGCCATGTCAATGTTGTGTTTTCAATGGCTTCTACTGTGCGCATCTACCATCAAGCTTATGGTCTTTAAATTCTATTGTATACTACTATAAATAAGCATACTTCCTCCAAATGCCAATGTATTTTGTGTCAGACCTTCTAAATGTTATGTCTATGATCTCCTTAATTGTATTGTTAGGCATATGCTACAAAGACAAACAGAAAACCTTATGGCCAATTCAGCAGGGATCTGGAACCAATCCTTTTGTCAAAGCATGCACTGATTGTTGCTCATCTAATGCAGAATTTTCAGTTGAACCCACAAAAAAGAAGACAAACTAAACACATTTGACCAGTTTCACAGTCTTACAGTCCGGATCACAGGCGCGGAACTCTTGCATCGCCTTGCATCGCCTTCCTTTGATGGGACAACGATGCTTAACAAAGTCTAGCCCTGAAGCCGAAGTATCAAAAAGAAATACTCCTTAAATCTGTTGTTCCACCATTCGTCCAAAAGCCGCAATGGCAGAAACAAGCATGAAGACGTTATTTTTGTTCAATGTTCCCCCCTTTCTCCATCATAACCGCAGCCAAGTCAGACACATTGGATGGCTAAAGCAATCCGTCGAAACCCAGCCCTTCCAACCGAAAACACTGGCACACTTGAATGGAACTATATATCAACATTGCCCTTCCAGTTGCTGGGAATCATCTTGTCAAGCTGGCATCCTGCCCGCGCGTCCACAAGAAAGTCCTGCCTCGGGCAAAATTAGCCACCTGACGGTGGAAGAGGTTGGCAAAAAGAGATTTGTGAACAAACGGAGGCACCTCTGTATGCTCAGAATGGAAGCTTTCTTTCCAGACAATGTGCGCGGTAGGTCATGAAGATTTGAATTGCTCATAGCAACTGGATAATTGAGGAATTCTTGGAATCACCTCTCACCAGGCCTCCCCCTTACATTATCCCCCGGCACAGTCCATTATACTAGTGTTCTCAAGCATCACCAGCAAGCCGGGTTAGAGATCAGAGGCCCAATCCTAGTCACACACGTACGGTGTCACGAACACAAAAAAGAAGGATGAACAGGATTGATCCAGATTGTTTGGATTGTGAATCAATACTTCTCAAGGGATCTTTCTCTGGGTCGGATGATTTTTTGGAGAAGACTCGAAGATAGACAGGCAGCCATCTTTACGCACTGACTGTGAGTAGTTCATGTTACGCATATCCCGAGTCACCAGCAATTGATGATCGTTGCAACTCTTTCCATGTTTTTCCCGGTAACTGAAGCTTCATCAATTTACCAAAATATCAACCACAGGCAGAACTGTAAAAGTGGAACAAAAATATACTCTGTCAGGTGAAGATTGTCTGCCATGTTCACGACTGTAGTGCCAGTCTGGCAGGTGGCTGAACAATCAATTCAACATGTTTTGTCTCACCCATCTTCTCATATCCTCCAACCCAACTTAGGCATCGGCTGGCCATAGATCGCCATCACAAATCAGAGCGTTGAGATTTCAAAAGTATTGGAAAAAGAGCGTCGATCACAGGTGCTCAGCTTGGGAAACAAGGGGCAATCTTTCGATGTTAACCAACCCACCTTAGAACAATTCCACTGAAGACGGTGATGCTTACACGCGTTAAAATGTCTTGCATGTTCTTCTTTGCATCACTTCCTCCATCATTCAGAGGAGTACTCAATTTGGCGATTGCATTTGGATAGGGCCTCCTTGATTTCCACCATTCCAGTGAGGACTTTGATCAATCAGTTCAAACTCCGAAGACCTACCCCGGCTACCCCGGCTACTACCTCGCGGTTCAGTGGCAAACGGCCGCAAGTCTTCCACACACAGCTGGGAACACAGCGAACTAGCGGAACTGTGACGCGACTCACGGGGCGCCTTCTTTTTTTCGCCGGAACCGAAGCGGACAGTTGAGACGTTTCTGAACATCGGAGCTGCTTGAAAAGCGCCTAAAGCTTTTAAAACCAACGTACCATGAACATGTTAGAAACCATCTTAGCCTCAGTTTGTAGTGAAATGCATCAAAAAGCTATCTACTCCATACCTGCGTCTTCCCCATTATCACTTTTTTCTGCCTTTTCACCCAAAAATGCTTTTGGAGGTGTAGAGGCGACTTTTCTGGAAATCGGCGTTTTTTGTCCTTGATGAAATATTGCAGAAAAAGTGATAGTTAGGAAGGCGCACATCAAGTTTTCAAGACTTGAACAGCTCTATCTATCGCGAGCGAGCGTATCTTTTTTCAGTGAGCTGCGATGCTGTCAAAAGCCATTTGGCCTTGGTGAAGGGACCCTAGCTTTTCATGCACATCATGACCAAATAGTTCTTACCAACTCGTCAGTTGGCAAGTTACAGACAAACATGCAATGAATTTGGACTCAGTTGAATAAAGCTGCGGAAGTATGATTTTTCAGAACATTGAAGAAATAGATGTACATTAACTCCACTTTCTGTGGACTCCGGAGGGTCAGGATGCATCCATGGCAAGCGAGCTCTCCAAGAAGAAGATCCTGCCCGGTGCTACACATTCTTTCAGCCCTTGTGGCTTCAGTGAGGGGTCATTCATTAAGTTCGCACCATGTCAAGTAGAAGGTCTGCTTCCCGGAGCGATGTGGAAGGTTTCGTATCTGAGGGTCTACCCACAGGAGCTAGCACGCGCGTGGGATGAATGCAGGTCGTTGGGGGACCGCTTCTTTGACAAGAAGGAATCCCGCTTGACCCGCTGGGGTGACAAACAGACCGTAGGGTTTGCCAGTGTGAAGAACATGAGATT